GACACCCGTGGAAGTGGGTTCTCCACTTTGTCCAAGCAAGATTTGTGACCAAGGTTAGAAGACAGATTACTTGCTCTCTCCCAAAAGCAGTAAGCAATCTAAGTCGGCTTCTAATGATACCACCACCACTGTAGCAAGTCGCTTGTGCAAGTAAAATGGAGGAGCTGATGCTTATCCTGTTTGCCACTACCGGAGAATAGTAGTGCTAGCTGCTGATATCATGCATCTTTGACCTTCCTACATTCGATTGATCACCAGTATCCTTCGAGGTTTGGTCACTGTAAAGCCTGCTGCTGAGATTGCTGATGATTGAAATGACTTAAACCTATGCAGAATTCCAATACTCTTCACAGAATTCTCTGCTTTCTACTCTTGCTTTTGTTCTTCTTCATTTACTACAGACTGTAGGAGTTAAGTGGATGAACTCAGTGAACTGCATTGGCTCAGATAAAAACATGACAGAGGAGGAGGAGGACTAGCCAGGGAACCTGATCATGCTTCTCATGTGCACAAGATGAAATGGGAGGCATCACCAAAGGACACCACACATTGTGCCGGCGACTCCGATGCTTCTTCGTATGTTTCCACCATCACTCTTGGATGTAACTAGTGCGATTTTGATTGAGGGAAACATTGTTTTGTCGCCATGAAATCTCTGCACTACCTAACTCTCAAGAAACCCTAAAACGTACGAGCTTAATAAGAGGACAATGAAGCGTCATCACGTTGTCATGTTTGGTGACATCCATCCTAGCAGTGCAAAAGGTCATCCCCTTCAATCTTTTTCCTGCCATGAAGGTTAAATGGGCGACTGCACCTTATGAATGCTGTGGTCCAACCAAAGCTTTCACATTCTTCTTTGTTGGAAGGATCGAGTTCCTGTTTTCCGAACCAGAAAAAGACTGGTGAAGTGGTCCGCCTCTTCTGAAATGATAGCCCAGAAGAAGATTGGGTTGAGTGAGAGTGCGTGAGGTCGAAGGAATGTTATATAAGGAGGGAACGTCGAGCTGCTCTTTCCACTCCCACCATCTGCAGTAGAGTTTCTTATTCTGTTCCAGCTTTCTTCTTCTCTACAACTCCAATATTAGCCATGGAGATGTCACCAGATGCCGAGAAGAGTGGGGTGTGTGACTCCTCTGTGGATTACAAGGGAAGGGTTCCTCTCAGATCCTCCACTGGATGTTGGAAGGCGTCCCTTTTCATTATAGGTAAGGAACTGAACTGCCAAAACCTATCCATCGACTCCATGGCAATCTACTTCTGTACGTTTTTGAGGTTGCGGGAGCACTCTCGATCGAGTTATGCTGAATTCTTGTGCATCTTTTGGTTGTGCAGCCATGGAGTTCGGCGAGAGGCTGAGCTACTTCGGACTGGCCACCAACCTCATCATCTACCTGACGAAGGTGCTGCACCAGGAGGTGAAGACGGCCGCCAAGAACGTCAACTACTGGAACGGCGTCACCACCGTGATGCCCCTCCTCGGCGGCTTCATCGCCGACGCATACTTGGGGAGGTTCATCACTGTTCTCGCCTCCTCCCTCATCTACATCGTGGTAAACTCCTCCTCTTAAGATAACATCAATAGCATTTCCTCCTTCATAATTGTCTCTCTCAAGACAACCACAAGAATTGATGATATCCATTTCAATCCAACCAAACATAGTGAGTGTGGAGAACAAATTCCATGAAATAAGAAAGAAAAGCTACTTTCGATAGGTATTGTCTGAAAAGAATTGGTTCCCTACAGTAATGGGAGAAGATGGTGACCTGAAGAAGCTGCAAGTGGCTGGCTATATATCGATCTAAAAAGTACAGTGCGGAGGAATCCACCGACGGAGCTCTCAAACACTCCTTAGGCACCACCTAATATGCATATGTGAGATTGATGGTTTCGATCATTGTGTGTCCTCTTTTGGGTTGTCTCGTGAGTGTGAGAGCCATTTCAAGATAAGCGCTGACTTTTGGCATGAGAGAAAGGTACTTTTGGTGCAAACTGGTCCACTCACAATGGTTCCGCAGTTTGGATTAACTCTGTATTGTGGTCTTTTTGGTGGGTGTAGAGTCAACGAGCGATGTTTGCTACCGCAGTCCATTGGTGCATGCATGTGTCTCTTTGCCTGATGAACATGATGATGACTAGTACAGACTCAACTCGTGTTCTACGAATGTCTCTGCAGGGTCTCGTCCTCTTGACGATGTCACAACTGGTCCCGCGGCTGAAACCGTGCGACCCCAGCAGCTGCGGCAGATCACTGCGCCCCCACGAGGTGTTCTTCTTCTTGGCGATGTACCTGATCTCTGTCGGCACAGGTGGCCACAAGCCCTCGCTCGAGAGCTTCGGCGCTGACCAGTTCGACGACAACGACGCGGGGGAGCGGAAGAAGAAGATGTCCTTCTTCAACTGGTGGAACTTCGCCGTGTGCACCGCGCTGTCGGTTGCCGTCACCGTAATCGTTTACGTCCAGGAGACCGTCAGCTGGTGGCTGGCCAATGTGGTGCTCGCCGCCGTCATGTGCTTCAGCCTCATGGTGTTCGTCGGTGGCAGGCCATTCTACCGCTACCGAGCGCCGGAGGGAAGCCCTTTGACGCCCATGCTACAGGTTGTGGTGGCGGCCATGGCCAAAAGACACCTTCCTCTTCCTTCGGATGCTGGAGAACTCTATGAGATCCCGAAAACGCGGCAGCCGGACAAGAGGCTCCTCTACCATACTAGTAAGCTAAGGTAACGAACGCATCGCCACAGTCGATCGATGGAACTCACGGGAAATATGAAGCTTAGTAGTTCTTCATGTACCTTATCTCAGATTTTTTGACAAAGCTGCCATTATCGAGCACAAATACGATGAAGCTGCCTTCGCCGCCGAGAAGCTGAATTCATGGCGGCTGGCCACCGTGACCCAAGTGGAGGAACTCAAGCTAATTCTATCCATGGTGCCCATATGGCTCACTGCACTGCCGTTCAGCATCTGCGTCGTACAAGCTAATACCTTCTTCATCAAGCAAGGGAGCATCATGAACAGAGAGGTCGTGAACGGGTTCAAGATTCCCGCGGCCTCCATCTTCGCCCTCGGCGCCGTTGGCATCATCATCTCAGTTGCCATCTACGACAAAGTCCTGGTGCCCTTTCTGAGGAGAGCCACCGGCAGCGAGAGGGGCATCAGCATCCTCAAAAGGATTGGGATCGGCATGGTGTTCTCCACCATGGGCATGGTCACCGCTGCCCTGGTGGAAAGGAGGAGACTCAGGGTGGCCGAGGTGGAGCAAACCAGTGTGGTCTCCATGAGTGTGTTCTGGCTGGTGCCTCAGTTCATGATGCTGGGAATAGGCGATGGGTTCGCGCTGGTTGGCTTGCAGGAGTACTTCTACGATCAAGTCCCCGACGGCATGAGGAGCTTGGGCATCGCCTTCTACTTGAGTGCACTGGGGGTGGCCAGCTTCCTTAGCAGCCTCTTGATCACCGCAGTCGATCACCTGACCTCGAAGGAAGCCAGGGGAAGTTGGTTTGCCAAGGACTTGAACAAGAGCCGCTTGGATCTCTACTACTGGTTGGTAGCCGCCATAAGCGGAGTGAATCTGTTCGGCTACGTGTTTCTAGCAAGCAGATACTCTTACAAGAGAGTGCAAACAGAGGCGGTGGGAGTGGCAAGCTCCCCCGAAGCTGACGCCTAGACCGCCACTCCTTGCCATATGCTGGTAGTTTATGTACGTTGCTTGTGTCTCAAGTTGCAGTGCAAGCAATTAATATCAGCTTGGATAATATGAAGTTGGTCCGGCCTGTTCCGGGCCCAGAAATCGTCGTGTGAAGCCCACCATCTCTAACCCCAGAGAGAGAGACAGAGAGAGAGAGAGAGCGCTTTTAAATGTGAGGGGCGGTGTGGCACAGGGCAGGACCAGGTGGACCGAGGGCGGGCCTCGGTATCCGCGAGTCGACGGGAAACCCGGGCGCTCCCCCCTCGAACAACAGTCTCCCACGGGCAAGCCAAGCAAAAGATGTCGCTGTGCTGTGTGCTTTGACTCCTGCACTCGAAAAGAAAGCCAGCCAGCAAAGAGAGATAAAGAGAAAGAGGAGCCCCCAAAAGAAAGAAAAGCGATTAAAGAAGCGCCGATTGAAAACCAGCGCCAGTCGCTGCAGCAGCAGCAGCAGTGGCAGTACGCGCTCGCTGTGCCTCCTCGGTTCAGAGGGGTGGGGAACAACGGGCGGCGACGTCACCCCCACCTCCGTAACAGCCGCGTCACAACCCCCACACGCGACTCGTATGCATGCCTTCCCCTCTCCTGCACTGCACACCCACCCCGATTCTTCACTACACCCAACGCAGGGGAGGTGACAATAATGGTTTCCCAGCGGCTCGGTACGGCCTGCTCGTCTCCCCGCTCGACACCTAACTGGCGGATAGGCTTAATTAATGCAATCTTTCCCATATTTTGGACACCAACTTGGCCTTCATCATCCACCCCGCCACAGCTATCAACAACTAGTACGTACTCCCTCTCTCTCTCTCTCTCTCACATGCACTAGCGCTGACACGGCGCTCTCCTAGTGGTCGGGTTCCCGTCCCGAAAGGCCCGCCGGAATGGGCCCCGTGACAGCTCTTGGCCGATGGAACGTCTCTCTCGCGGTGGGGGCCCCGTCGACCGTGGCATACGTGCGGAAGGGAGGCCTCCTGCCACGTGCGTGCCATCCCTAATTAAACTCCTAGTCGCTCTCGCTCTCCTTCCCGTTCTCTCGGCGCAATCAAGGCGAGCAGTGGACACGTTAAGAAGGGCGAACGTGTTTACCGCGTTCCCCAGCTTTTTCTGGCCCACTGTTCTCAGAAAGGACGACATAATGGAGAAGGCATATGAATTGAATTCCGCCTTCTCTAATTTATTGTAGATTAATGAGGAATAGTTGGGATGTGTGGATAAAATCGAGTAACAGTGGCAGTTGAATCTCTCACTGCACTCCGGTTCTCATCATGTCTGCACACACATATTCTTCTCACTCCCTTCGCTTTCACTGATCACTGTTCACTGACTCGCTCGCGCTCTCTCTCTCTCTCCCTCCTATCTTTTTTTGTCACTTGCTGTGTGGAAAGCAAGAGACCAAACAAAAAGCTGTGAGCTTCTCCACCCTTACCTTCTCCAGGGTTTGGCCAAGAGAAGGAGAAGAAGAGCAGCTGGCACGAGCGGAAAGAGAGGGAGATGACTTCTTCAGCGGCGGATCGGTTCATGGGAGGAGGCGAAGGAGGAGGAGGGGAGGAGCAGCTGCTACTGCACCACCCCCAGATGTACTACCACGTGCCGCAGCACAGCCGGAGGGAGAAGCTGCGGTTCCCGGCGGAAGAGTCCACGCCGGCCACCTCCCTCCTGCTCCTCTATGGTCCCAACAACGCCCCGCCGCTCTACCCGCCAAATTCTTTGACGGCCTTCCACCCCTCCTTTTCCTCCTCCTCGTCGTCGTCCTCCTCTTCCCCCAGCTACTCTCACAACCCTGCCCTTACCTACGGTGTCGCACAATTCGACGGCCACGGGCCGCTCCCGATCCCCGCGCAGAACCACCACCAGATCTCCAGCCAAGGCTTCTCCCTCTCCCTCTCCTCCTCCTCGCCCCAAGCCCCGGCTTCACGGCACCACCTCGCGTCCCGGCCTGCCCCCTTGGGCCCGTTCACCGGCTACGCAGCCGTCCTCAACCGCTCCAGGTTCCTGGAACCGGCGAGGAAGCTCCTAGAGGAAGTGTGCCATGTGGGGCACCAAGCGGCAGGGGAAGGCGGCAGCAGCCGGGAGATGCTCCTGGACGCGGATCCGCCGAGGGACTCGCTGGTGGACCACGGCGGAGACGGGCTGCCCGACCATGGCATGAAGGAGGACGACCGTCCCATCACGGGCACGGAGCAGCAGTGGAAGAAGACCATGCTCATCTCCATGCTCGACGAGGTGAGCGACTTGAACTGACAACTGCTTTGAGAGGACTTCATCTGTTTGTTCTCTCTCCCTCTCTCTCGCTCGCTCTCTTTGGATCCTCCTGCTCGTGCAAGTCTCTCGAGGTGTTCACTGTGTTGAAGGGTTTCGTGTTCTTTCATGTCAAAGATCTCGTAGCAGCTGGTGCGATCTTATCACTGTGTGCGGCCGTCGACTTGATTGGTCGTGATTCTGCCATGGCAGGAATCCCTTTTGTGTGTGATGATATGACAGGTTTTAATCTTTGTTATGTAGGATTTGCTGCAAATTTATTCCCTTTGACGTGAAAGTTCAGTGATCTTTTAGATGGAAGCAGCAAATCTTTATCTTGTGGATGAGAAGAAGAGAGGAGAATGATATGTTTGCCTTTGATGGTAGAGAATAGCATTTGCAGGTGCCTCATGTAGTCCATTATCCGATTTGCATGTCGTAGAAGAAGATTTGAGCTTGATGCATTACTTGTGTAGTGGTTTTTGCTAACTATACAATGATGTGGAATTGTGAAGGTAGCATACAATAGATAGTTAGTGATGAACTTAATGTTATGATTTCATAATAGAACCGCCATGAGTTAGGATTACCTGAGCTAAAATTAGGTGCATGTTGAACACTTCAGTTTGTGAATTATTCGTAGATCGAGTAATTTAGCTTTGGTTTCGGTGTGATGCCAGTCGAGGAACCATCGAAATAGTGTGCTATAACTTCAAAATTATGTTTCTGTGTACATCTGTGTATGATTTTTTGTGCATCAGTAAATGGGGTATTTGGTGGCCATTTACTGCAAGAATAGTAAACCAAATTTTCTAAGCCAAAGGATGTCTATATATACATGGGGAGAGAGAGAGAGAGAGAGAGAGAGAGAGAGAGGAAATATATGCATGCTCAAAAAGAGTAACTTGTACTTTTCTCCTTAGCTGAGCTTCTAATTGTTACTAATTACCTTCAAATTAGTGATCTCAGGTCACTGTTAAAATAGTTTTGTGACTCACAAACAAAAAGTATTTATAAGATATATATATCAATTAGGTTCGCTACAAGTCATATTCCATATGAAGCTTCAACAAGGACGAAGAAAACTTATAGTAGCAAGGCCGAACACTAAATTATATTTCTAGGTTTCTCATAAGAACTCTTAGGTGACTTTCAGTGTTGTTTATGATAATCATGAGACATTTCAGATTAGAATTTGCTTAATTTATTTTTAAGATTCATCTTATTCAGTAGAAGTTATTCAAGTGTTTGGAGTCATATCAGTTAAGTCTTTTTGGCTGGTCAGCAAGCCGCCTTTTGGTGTCATAAGACAATGATTTGTCGAAAGCAGTATGGATACATTAGAAGTGATGATTGATTTCTGTTTAAACATTTGAAACTGCAAGATTATTATGAATCTTAAAGAGTAATGTAAACAGGTTTTCAGATATGTTTTTTATCTGCTTTCTTTATATTGTTTTATGTAGATTCTTCAAAACAGTGTTGTAGCAGTTAGATTCCTCAAAGCATATATATACCACCATGACTATCAACATTGTTTAGATTTGAAGGACTTCCTCAATAATAGTGTTGACCATTAGGTATGTTTTAAGTAACAGAAACCCGAAGAAGATAATAATAAACATGTGACAAATGGCAGGTCGACTTCAGCTGTGCCTCCGAAGATAATTTACATGATAAGCAACGTTGGCAGGAGTAGCGGCTGCAATGAAATTAAACGTGCTGATGTATGTCATAGGACTTTTGGACAGTCAAAATGAAATTAGAGATCGACAAGATTGAGTATGTAAAGGATGTTTGTCTGTGATACAACCAACTTAGTACTTTTAAGGTGCATATAAGTTACTACAGTAGATGATCATATTAGGCTATCAGTAGTATATCTCTGCCCGAATGTTTTCACATGACTTGTATACTAGCAATCCTAAAAAATGCATATGGCGATTTGTCAGTCTGTTGCATGTTTATTTTTGTTTGGTGATGAGAATTGCCTGCGGGATTTTGCTAACAGGATAAATTGTCTTGTATGCGTAACATGAAATTGATGTCCTTTCATGGCTTTAGTTCTCTGCTATCAATGATAAACCTTGTCGCATTGATCTGAAATCTCTTCTTCTTTGTTCAAATGACACTTTTCTAGGTGTACAGAAGATACAAACAATACTACCAGCAGGTGCAAGCTGTTATTACATCATTCGAGTCGGTTGCGGGATTGAGTACTGCTGCTCCATACGCCTCGATGGCCCTCAAGGCCATGTCCAAACACTTCAGAAGCCTCAAGAATATAATATCTGACCAACTTCGTCAGACAAACAAGGGTCTCAGAAACGAAGGCATCAGTCGAGAAGAGATGTCGAACTTTGGGCTTCTAGATGGCAGCGGTTATCTCCATAGAACAACAAATAGCACTAACACATTTGCTCAACCACATGTGTGGAGACCTCAGAGAGGGCTTCCTGAACGTGCAGTGTCTGTGCTTCGATCATGGCTTTTCGAACACTTCTTGCATCCGTAAGTATCCTAACTTATGGATCGAACTGTACAGAACTTGCAGGTTGTTTCTAGATGGTGAAGAATACTTAATCAGCTACTCTTTGTTAAGATTCATGGTGCCTGATGCATGCATTATAACCAAGCACAGGATACCCGTCATTAATATGCATATGTTTTTTATTTATATAGCGTGCTAGGCAATGATATGTAATAATTAGGTAGTGTTTTAGTCATTTAGCAGTGGTAGAATCCTTATTGCATAGAGCTTGACGGGCACAACATTTTAATGAAGCTATTTATCTGATCATTTCTTATGATTTCCAGCTATCCTACTGATGTGGACAAGCAGAACTTAGCGAAACAAACAGGCCTTACAAGAAACCAGGTAAAGTGTGATTCCATCAAATGGTCAATTCTCATGTTCTACATATGCAAGAAATGGGTAGTATGTTAGTAAGAGAAAATTTCTGTTTAGTTTGGGAATCCATCTGCATTATGCTTCTCATTGGCATATGCTTCGGTATAGCACATTTTTGAGATGGACATGTTCTTGAGTTCACACGGAAACAGTCTCTTTTAAGTATACACTTGTAAGATGATCTTGTGTTTACTCCAATTACATTCTTGGTTTGAGCAGGTCTCTAACTGGTTTATTAATGCGAGAGTAAGGCTTTGGAAGCCAATGGTGGAGGAAATACACTCTCTAGAGATGCGTCAGAAGAACAAAATGTCTGCAAGTGACTGTGATGAGCGACAACCTCCGCGGCCATCATCTTCCAAGACAAGTGCCTTTGATCCACAGCCGCTCCAGATTTTGAGCACCCAAAGCCATCAGTACTCGATGTCCAAAGGCATTCAAGAAGAGCTAACGCCAATGCCCAACCACATCCCGGAGCCGGTTAACTTCGACACATCGGACCACCACATCGGCGGCGGAGTCGGCGTGGCCGCCGGAGGAAGTGGTGTGTCCCTCACCCTCGGCCTCCACCAGAACAACGGGGTGTGCTTCTCCGAACCACTGCCGCTGGACGTCGCCCGACGGTTCGGGTTGGACGAGTGCAGTGACACCTATCTGGTGGGTGCATTCGGGGACCAAGAGAGGCAGTTTGGAAAGGATGTGGGCAGTCGTCTGCTTCATGATTTTGTGGGGTGAAGGATGGTTGTAGCAGCCTCGGCTTGTTGTAAGATGAACGTATATGATTGAACATGCTCGGTAACGCCAATTGTTGCATACAAACATCAGTTCTCTTGCCATGGCTTTTCAGCATTGGTGGTCGTATAATCATGTTTTACTTCAGTAACGGAGGAAGTCATGTATTCCAAGTAGCGGACACTGTGATGTCGTGTGTATTCGTTGGGAGGCAAGTTTTGCGTCCTAGGGATGAGAGAGAGGTGAAGGTTGCGAGCTCTCCGATGGCGGTGATGGTGATCGGATCCGGTTCGTGCTTCCATGGATGTCGATGGGTATGCGTGCGTGTTCGTTGCCAGGGTTTAGGGATGGATGAAGAAGTGGGGTCGAGCGGCCACGTTGGGACACTGTGTCCTTGGAAATGACATGTACTGTGGTGATGGGTTACAAATAAGTGCTGGTCTCGGAAATGACACGCCAGCTTTACAGGTGCCACCGACCGAGGCGGTGGGCAATGATACAACCACTGCTCGTTCTTTTTACAGGACACGGGTCGCCGCTCGCTGCGTCGTCGATGGTGGTGCCGCCTGTGCCCGGTCTGACAGCGAAGCCAAAAGGTGGGCTCCAATAATTCCTCTAGACCGCAGGGGAAGAGCTGCGTTGGCCAGGACCGATTCGCCCCTGAAAATTTTGCCGTGGGACCAGGAGAGTGGGTCCCGCTCAAAAGCAATGAACCGTTCAGACGTGTGGATCCCACATTTGATAAGATAGATAGAATCGAAGCACAGGAAAAGAGATGTCATCCTACACCAACAATCAATTGCGGGAATCATCTGATAACAATGAGTTGCACATCAAGAACAAACACCTTTGCCTGTCCTTGTTACAGCTTAAATATGGCTCAGTATTTATTCGACTCTGCTCCGTTCTGAGGCAAGAAAAACAATAGCTCAAATTGCAGAGAACTTTCAACGAAAAGTTTGGAACACTTTGGTTTTAATAAAACCAGCAGGGATGGACGTTTGATTGCTCATTCTGATTGCACTTTGGTCATTGACGATCCCTGCAAGTATTTGAAGGGCAGAATCAGCAAAAGCCTTTGCGGTATGACTCACAACAAAGAAACAAGACTCCCATCACCGAACTTGAACCAGCATACCTATCTAATCGAAGCAATCAAGGGAACAACAAATGGTACGTACAAAACACATTGCCTTACTGGACGCCGCTCCACCTGGCCCAGTCAACAAATTGCATTCCCCCGTAAATATTGTTGGCGAAGCGAACACCGACTGTGAAAGCCATTGTGATGGGTGGGCTTTGCTTCGCTAAAGATGAAGCCTCAACCAGGCGTTCTAGGCCATTTATGATCTGGTAGCGAGTATTCGAAGAAACCGCAAGGAACACACCTGTCGATCGGAAAGCAGCCTATTAAGCTAACTAAGCTTGATCCAAGGGAAAAAAAACTCTGATAAAAGCTGTAAGTATCGATGACAGATAAAATACACTACTAAACCATATTAGTTGACCAGACAGAATGAGATGCATGACTACCGGCTAAAGATGAATGCTAAACCAATTAGTCATAGGATAAAAACCAACTGTTTGATGCTGATATCCCTTGACTAGGCAATCCATCAAATCATGAAACCATTACAGAACTTTTGACATGAAACCTGTTAATTAGATGAGTATTTTTTGTTAATGAATTGTGGATGCCACATTACTCACGGTTCTAAGCCTACTGAAGAAAAGGATTCTGGCTTAGAGCCAGTAGTTCATAGTGGAAAAGTCTTATAGTGTCTCACTCTAATTGCCAGGTTGCAGCCTTATGGCACAGATCAAATGTGCAAAAAAATCTAGAAGCCCTAAAGAGATCTAAAGATTCCAAAGGGCTATGGATTTATTCAAGCAATTATGACCAGATGCAACTGACAGCATCTCTTAAAACTTAATGGCCAATGTGAAGCTTACATAAATACCACAAGCAGTCTTTCTAATGATCCGGATGCATATGTCAGATGCAGAGGCATTTTCCAAATTTCCAGTATCTTCTATTGAACAGATGAAAATGAGATAGGGGAATAAATAGGACACAGGTAGATAGATACACATGGGACTTGTGTTTCACTTGTGGGTATGTGATACATCATAGTATATGAAAAAGATGCCATGAAAACCAAAATTGTTGAGTTGGATGGTATCACCTCAGTTGGTGTTTAACATCCATAATATATATACTACATACATGCATGACCAGCAGATACATATCTAAAATGAGAGCGAAATGTCCAAAATGATTTGTGCAGGGTGGATACGAGAGTTCAAGTAAATCTGAAACAAAATCACTTTCTTTGTCACACATATGTTGGATGCATATAAAGACCTCGCTACATGGAAACAAAATCACTTTTTTTGTCACACTTAATCTTGGATGCATATGTGGACCTCACTACTTGTAGCAGAAAGATTTGCAAAGTTCAAGATTAACACTATATAGTAATTTTGTCGAAGCCATACCCCAGAGAGCAGCACTTTCAATCAGCGGTGGAACTGGAATATCTTCTTCTGTTTTCTTTACAGTCCTGTACACAATAAAAAACAAAATCTGTTGTGAACCGAAGGTTTGAGATACCATACAAGGTTATTGGATTCAGACAACAATTATGCACCACAAATCTGCAGCACGCAAGTGATGTAGAATACTTGCAATGTTGCATTTATAGTTCAAATTTTGTGATATACCATACATTTCCTCAAACCAGCCTATAAAAATAGATTTCAAAGAATTTTCTTTTGTGGGAAGCTCCATCCTAACAAGAAGCTCCATAATATGTTCACTACACCAATTGAAAGAAGATCTAGCTCATATTTCAAGATAAAATTGACATATTGGAATATTTTTTTGATTCCTGTACCTCTCCATTTCTATGAGTTAGGAATATATGCTAGATAATCCAAATAGCTCCATAAAATCACCACATTTTCACATACACCATTGTCAAGGCATATACCTCTTACCTTTAGCACAGTGGCATCATGATCCTCCAAAAGCATGAAATTAGAATAAATAAAAGAGTGACATTTAAAAGATAAGATAAATAACAGCCTTTTTGCAGAAACGAAACATAAGATAAACAGGAACAAAGCAGCTGACCTTTTTGCGGTCATAATGAAGTTTGCAATTCCTTGCCCTATGAGGCCACATGCAAATCCAACTGAACCATATAATAAGCCCTGCATCCAATACATGTAAGAATTACTGTATAACAAGTAACAGCAAGGAAACTGTGCCACCAAGCCATCTAATAATCAATCAATACAAAATGAATATAAAAGTATGAGAATGTTGGAAACAGTCATCATCAATACCTTATAAAAATAAGTCGCAACTCGCTGTTGGATTGAAAATTTGCATCCTGGTCTTTCAGCTTCAAATACACTACATTGAATGTTCAAGTTGCTTAACAACAAACTTTGGTCATTTGTCTCAGAAGCAACAAGCTTAAATACAAAGTTACAAGAGACACACAGCAACATGATAAGCAAACTGATTACTAAGAAGTTGATCTAAACATAACAAAAAGATTGAGCCCTTCATGTGGACAAATGATATAAAACTTCTGGCTTTCAGGTAAAAATTTATTTAAGTTCCCATAAGATAAATTCCAACCAGATGATCATTCATTTTATTTGCATTTCATAACATATATGATAAGTCAGTCTAAGCAGATCTAACAATTCAAATGTCACATTACCATGATGTCATTGTTAAAAATACCACAGAAATTCAGCTTCTCATGACATTTTATATGATGGACGAAAGATAGCTTCCCTTCTTGGGTAACTCGGTCCAACAAAACTCTAGCCTAAACTAATGGCTTGTTACTATTAGCAAACAGTTCTACCTTTGCATTGAAAAAAAAACAGAAGAAAAACACCAGAACCTAATTACCTAGGGACAGTTATATAAATTCCTCCCACCACAGAACTCAGTTGAGGGTAACATCACTAAATAACTTGGGGACAATATGTAACCTCTCTTATTGCTCCTCTCTAGCCTTCAACCGTGATAAGGCATATTTTGGACCTCGGCCACGTCATCAGCGAACGCGGGCTCCCGAGACACGCACCAGGCGCCACATCACACCCCTGCAGATTCAGCACAAGGGGCCGCCTTCCTCCCACATCCCGCCGAAGCCCGTACAAGAAGGTGTTCACTCGGCAAGTCCTGTCCCGAAAAGCTCGGGACGGCACCGCATAGCGTCGTTCCATGCATACCAGACGGCAGTCGCACGAAGGTACGAACTCGCCACTCAGGCGAGGTCGGCCGATACGCCAAATCCGTGTACGATTGATCCTCGGACAACAGCATAAAAGCTCCCGGCTGACATCTGGCCAAGGAGAGAAAGAAAAAGGAGAACAAAACCATTGACTTAATCTACGAGGGGCCTAAGTCGGGAATCTCCCGACCCGGGTCTGTGTGCAGGAACTCAACAACCCCCCAAGCCGGCTCAACCCTGCACTCGAGACGCGGCCATCTCGATCTCTAATCCAGCTCGGTCTTGGCATTTCCTCCAACGAACCAAGAGACGTGCTCCCGAGCATCGGGAACTCCAGACATCGACGCGTGGACCAAGCCGTGCTAACTCCTCGACCACGACATGTGAGTTCACCAGTATTTTGGCGCTAGAAGGAGGGCCGATGTTGCAGGAATGTCCCGAAGGAGAACCACCAAATGTTCACCTCCTTTTCAGGCTCGGAGAGCAGCCCCACCCCGTTCCCAGGGATGGCGGCATCCCAACGCCGACGCCGGATCGCTACTGGCGCCTGTTCAACGATCCAGGACTCTCTCCTCCTGGAAACACTTTAGGACCCTCGGTCGTCTCGCCCAAGGTGTTCCTCAGCTTAGCCAAGCAAGTACAGGCCTTGACGGGGATGATGCAAATGGTCGTCCCGCTCATCCCGTAGATCGTACAGCTAGCGGCTCTCTTGACCGACCCAACACCACAGAGGCCGAACACGGAACAAGTCGGGATAGGAGAGGCCCGAGAGCAGACAGCCCCAAGAAACCTCCCCGAGCAGAGCACGCCTGCATCCTGTAGAGTCGTACCACCGGTCCAAGAGCCCGATACCTTATCATCGGACTTGGCCGATGACTCATTCAGGGTCCAATTGTCCGTGGTCAACCGTCGCTTGGATGAGTTCTAACGTGAATTCCTAAAGTCGCGCGGCGAGAATGGGGAAAGCGGCTCGGGAGGATCCCCTTTTGCTCAAGAAATACAGGACAAGCCCGTGCTGCTTAACTTCAGACTTCCGACATTGGAGACGTACGGCGGTAGTTCCGACCCAACGGAACACGTCGCCGCATTTCGAGCTCAAATGGCCCTTTACGACACTTCCGACACCATGATGTGTCGGGCGTTCTCGACCACCTTCAGAGGATCGGCGCGGGCGTGGTTCAGCCGACTAAAGCCGGCCTCAGTCTCTTCTTTTGACCAGCTCGCAAGGGAGTTCGAGCAAAATTTCCTGGCCAGCGTGCGACCCAGGCCTTCCATGGCCACACTTCTTGCATTGTCCCAGTGCGATGACGAATCACTTTCCCAATTCGTCGCCCGCTTCGCCGCCGAAATCTGAGGGTTCCCGGACGCTCATCCCGTAGATCAGGATCGTCAACAGCGCAGCCCTGTAGGAGGCCCGACCGGCCCGAGCAACTACTCCCGAGACCGCCACCTCTGCCTCTGAACACTTCTCGTACCGAGATCTTTCTCCAGATCAGGGAGAAAGGACTTTTACAACAACCCAACCCCTTGAAAGCTACTCACAAGGATCGATCTAAATATTGCAGGTTCCACCGGGATTACGACCATGATACGGAGGACTGCCATGACCTCCGGAATCAAATTGAGGAGTTGATCCGAAGAGGTCACCTCGGGCGCTACCTCAAGGAACCAAGAGAAGCATCACCACACCCCGGGGGCCCTGTCGAGAAGCAAATCGACGTCATCATCGACGAACCGGCTTCTGGCGACAGCAACACAACGGCGAGGAAGGCCAACGCACGCTGCGCAATGGAGAAGCGCCCCAGACCTGAATCCGAATATGAAATCACCTTCGGAACTAAAGAAGTCGAATGCTCCCACCACGACGACGCTTTGGTGATCTCCATCCAGATCGTCAACACTCGAGTGAAGAGAGTGATGGTTGACACCGAGAGCTCTGCCGATGTGTTGTACCTCGACGACTTCAAGAAGCTCGGCCTAACTAACGAAGACCTCACCCCCATGGCGTCGGCGCTTACCGGATTTACGGGGGACTTCATCTCCTCGCTTGGGACCACTACCCTCCCTATTACTATCGGGGAAGAACCGAGAGCCAAGACGACAATGACCACCTTCATGGTAGTCGATCTCCCCTCTACGTATAACGTCATCTTCGGCTGCCCGACACTCAATAAGTTGAGAGCGATGGTCTCCACCTACCACCGAGCCATCAAGTTTCCAACGTCAGTAGGAGTCGGGGTGTCCCGAAGTGATCCTAGGGAGTCGAGGCGGTGCTATCTGATGATGGTCGCTCTCCCGAAGAAGCCACGACCCCAGCAAGCCCCGGATCCCAATGAAGAAGCCAAAATACCGGCACACCCGGGACCAACTGAACAGCTCGTCGAAGTGAAGGGACCGACCCGACATGACCGTAAAAGTCGGAACGACACTCACTGAAGCGAACCAACTCCAGCTCATCGATTTTCTGAAGAAGAACGTGGATGTATTCGCATGGTCCTCGAAAGACATGCCCGGAATCAATTCGAAGGCAGCCCAGCACCGCCTCAACATCCACCCCAAAGCACAACCTGTGAAACAGAGGCCGAGGAAGTTCGCCCTCGATCGGCAAAAGGCGATCAGTAACGAAATAGACTGCCTTAGTGAGGCTGGGTTCATAACCGAGGTGAAATATCCCTGGTGGCTGTCGAATGTAGTCCTTGTTAAGAAACACAACGGAAGCTGGAGGATGTGTGTCGACTACACTGATCTTAACCGAGCATGCCCTAAAGATTGCTATCCACTCCAGAGAATAGATCAGCTGGTAGATGCCATAGCAGGTTACGAACTCCTCACATTCATAGACGTATTTTCAAGCTATAACCATATCCGGATGGCACCGCAAAACTAAGAGCACACTGCTTTCATTACCAACATGGGAGTATATTGTTACAAGATGATGCCTTTCGGCCTAAAAAACGCCGGGGCAACGTACCAGAGAATGGTCAATGAGGTGTTCAAGCAATAGCTCAGCGGGAACATAGAGGTATACATCGATGACATGATTGTGAAGAGCAGGTCGGCAAGCACGCATCTGACCGATTTAACCAAGACCTTCCGGATCCTCAAGCGGTTTGACATGCGCTTAAATCCTTCGGGGTCCGTTCTGACAAGTTCCTCGGGTTCGTCATCCATCAGAGAGGAATAGGCACCAACCCGAAAAAGGTTCAGGCCATAATAGAGATGCAGCCTTCACGCTCGATTAAGGAAGTGTAGTGCTTCACTGGAAAACTGGCAACGCTCAATAGGTTTGTGTCACGTTCAGGAGACAAATTCCTCCCCTTCTTCCGAGCTCTTCGGCAGGCCGACAGCTTCACATGGACCCCGGAATGCGAGGAAGCTTTCAAAAAGCTAAAGGCGTACCTCGCTCGATTGCCCCGACTTGCATCACCCGAGCCGGGCGAGATCCTCGGCCTTTACCTGGCAGCCTTAGCATAAGCGGTCAACTCAGTGTTAACCCGGGAAGCGCTATCGGCACAACAACCTATCTATTATGTCAGTCACATTCTTGCTGGGCCCGAGGTATGGTACCTCCCGATCAAGAAGTTGGTCCTCGCACCGATAAAGACAGCGCGAAAGCTGTGACAATACTTCCAAGCCCATATAATCAAAGTGTTAACCGACCAACCCCTGCGACAAAGCCTCTCGAAGTTCGATGCGTCAAATCGGATGCTCAGGTGGTCGGTCGAGCTCGGCGAATTTGGCATCCAATACGCCCCCAAGACGGCCATAAAGCCTAGGCATTGGCTGACTTCATCTCCGAACTAACCCCCGAGGACCATGCTGTTGAATAGGGACATAACAAGCACACATGGACCTTGTATGTGGATGGATCGGCAACCGCCGAGGGAGCAGGGGCCAGACTCATCCTCAGGAGCCCCACCGAAGAAACCTATGAACGGGCGCTTCGGCTACGATTCAAGGCCACCAACAACGAGGCCGAATACGAGACGTTACTTCACGGGCTACGCCTTGCCCTGGAAATGCATGTGCGTGACCTTAAGGCCTTCAGCGACTCTCAATTGGTGGCGGGACACATCAATGGGAGCTACGAAGCCCGAGACCCAAATATAGCGCTATACCTAACTGAAGTGAGACAGCTCGCCAACCGCTTCGACCACCT